CTAGAAAGGACACAATGTTTGGTAGAGGGTAATCAAAAACAAAGGAAACCCTCAGTGAGATAGACTGGCACAACAGACACAATAATGAGCTAAAACATTTCAAAGATAGTGATTGGCCTGGCGCTCTTTAATTCTGTTACACACAAGGTCACCATGAGTTGGAGTGGGCTCAATGACAACTAACAATAATAGCAATGCAGTAGATTAAAGGTGGTCTGATGGAGAAGTGAGATGTACAGTTCCTTCTTTGGAATCTGGGTGGTTTCTGTGACTGAAGTAAAGCTGTGTCCATTTCTGAGCCCAAGATTATGAAACTGGCAGTTTCTATTTCCTGTGTCATGGAAAAGTAGACATATCTTAGGCCCATCTCCATGCTGTGAGGAAGCACAAGCTACCCCATAGAAAGTTCTACATGGAGAGAGCCAAGATCCCCCACTACAGCTCTATTTCAGCTCCTAGCTGCTGGTCAGCACAAACGTGCTGCCCTGGGAGGGAGCCATATTGGAAGTGGAGCCAGTCCTATTTAAGATGCCCCAGCTGAGCACAAATGAGCTGCCATGGCCACATCCCAACCAAACTGCCAATCTGTGATCCAAATAAATGATTGCTATTGTTTAAAATCACTACACGATAAATATGCTTGGTACAGTAGAGGGTCAGAGAAAAAGAGGAAGACCCTCAATGAGATGAATTTAAACAGTGACTGCAACAATAGGCTCATGCACATAGTGATGATTGTGAGGATGATGCAGGACTGGGGTTGCTCTGAGTCTGAACTGACTCAACAGCACATGACAACAAATGCAATAATATATAACTGGAACACTTCATAAATAGTGGCTGGATGAAACTGAACAAAATAAAAGGCTTACCTTAACTCCAAAAGCTTTCAAATAAAACATTTCTATTGGCTTTAGGCCCATTTGTGTTTTGACAAATTTTGGACTTCCCCAAATTTGGATATGGATGGATATCTGAAAATGGTTCTTTTTTTGGCAAACAAAAGCTTCATCTGCTGGTGAAAAATTAAATCCTTTGTCGGTGACAACTCGATAGCCTACATCAGGTCTATGAAAAGAGGAATAAAGAAACCAATTGTACAAATATTTTGTACACATTTTCTTTCATTAACCAGACTAATTATATAAACATTTCAAGAAAATATACTGCAGAAGATACCTTTTTGCTATATCTAATCAACAATTTCTAGAGTTACTAAGGATATGAAAATTCTATTTCAAAATACAGCTGGCTCTTGTTTTTAATTTTCTCACAGGAAAACGTGCAATTCTTGCCAAATGGAAGCACTGTTTTCTCAGACTTCCTTTCCCCTCCTTTGTGCTTTCTAGACTTTTCATTTGACTTCATAATACAAGAGAAAGATACAGACTAGAGACTAAGAAGTCACTGTATTACTCAGATTGGAAAATATCATGGATAGAGTTAGTCTCATTCCTCCTTTTAAAAAACAAACCTCTACATTTCATCAGCAACATCATGCTGAACAATAATTATTATTATTAATGTTAATAATAATCTTCAGTTGAATGGATATTCAATGGGTATATGAAAACCAGACTGCCTATAAATGCCAAGAACAGCTTTAAACCAGATAAGATTAACTGGAGCCAGTCATTTCAATTTTATCTTCTCAATCTGTTAATAGCACTGAAAACCTACTCTAATAGTTTATAGTAGTTATTTCTGTAGAAAGGACTGAGATCGTGATGGGATGAGGCAGCTAACCAGACTTTTGCTTTATTTGTATTGTTGAATCATCTGCAGTAACAGTAATTTCATGTACTGCATACTTATTTAAATACTATTAAAATGTTCATTGGAGTCCTGATACGATGTTGTAGGATAAACACTGGATCACTAACCCTAAGGTCAGTGATTCAAACCCACCGGCTGCGCCTTGGAAATCCAATACAGGGTCACAATGAGTTGGAACTGACTTGATGGCACTTAACAACAACAACAAAATGTTAATTGCAACATTCAATACATAACTATTGTGAAGTACAGAAGAGAATGCAAAAGTTTCATTTTTCTTTGGTATTTCCCCTACATTCTGTAGGTATGGAAAGTGATTTTACATTCATCAAGTTTCCTAAATATGGGTTCTCCCTTAGGAAAGAAACTTCTTCCCAGATTTAACACAAGAAAGCAGTACTTCTGTGTGCACTAAAACCACTAGACTTTTCTGCACGTTGGGATCTCAATTTAGACAGCTGCCTTTATGATTAACAATATAGAGTTTCTAAATTTTCTTATAATTCAGAGACAGAAAACATTAGTGGGTCTTCTGAGATGACAGTGTTCATGGTCTTTGCAAGTTAAGGGCCTTCTCAATGGATCAAATCACAGGGGTATTGATTACCCTCAAGTAGCTGATCAGTCAAAAGCTCCACAATGATAGTGCCCACCAGCAGAAAAAGAAAAATCTATTCAATGAAGGATTTGATAAAGATGACATGGCTAATGCCATCTGGGAATTTTATATTGACTCAGGTTTCTAGAACTAATCTGCTAACTTGCTCATTTAACAACTAGATGGATTGAATTGTATAGATTTTACTAGAGAAGATAATAAAAACTGCCATGGTTGAGAAAAAAGGAAATATCCATTTGTAGTGTTGCATGTTTCTCTGTCAAAAAATCTGAAGGAAGAAGGTAAGATTTACAACTCAGATATGAGCATCAGTCAAATTTAAGGATAGCTGTAAGCAAAAACTGAATCAGACAACAAGAATGTTACTGTTGAAGATTATCCTGAACCTCACACACGCATCTCTGATTACAGAAATCCATCCCCATTTATCTAAGAAAGGCAGTTCTGGTTTGGATATTGCATTAAGCATAAATTTAGCTGGCCTTTGTAAAACTGGTTCCATAACAAAGGTTTAAAAAATCATTCTGGAAAAAAAAAAAAAATTTTTTTTGAGAACGTTTTAATCCCCAAATTTTATTACTTTCAGATAATTTAGAGACACTATTTGTAACAAATCATATTATTGTAATTGTCTTGACAAGTGATTTTCTGTCTCAGTGTATGCATTCTAATTCAGGTATGAATTCCAATTCAGATGAATAAAGCCTTCCTTTTAGTTTAGGAAAAGTAAATTATGTATGACTTATGTAGGCACTTAACACAAAAACAACAGTCTATGGAGCCCTTGTGGGGCCCTGTAGGATAAGTCTGGACCACAACGTTGGTCTGAACCGGTACTTAATAACAACAACAACAACAACAACAAAAACATTCTAAGAGAATTTCTGGTGTGGCACTGTGGGCTATGCACTGGACTGCTAACTACAAGGTCAGCAGTTCAAACCTATCAGCCGCTCCTTGGAAACCCTATACAGGGTCGCTCTGAGTCAGAACTGACTTGACAGCATTTAACAGCAACAACAAAACATTCTAAAAGGAGCTCTGATGATTCAATGGTTAAGTTTTCAACTGCTATCAGAAAGGTGGGCAGTTCAAACCCACCAGCTGCTCTGCAGAAGAAAAGACCTGTCGGTCTGCTCTTATAAAGATTTTGGCCTGGGCTTCCTTATTGAGGCAGTTCTACTTAGTATTACATGGTTGCTGTGAGTCTGAATCAACTTAACAGCACACAGCAACACAAATATTCTAAATAAATCTGCCTTAGTACTTTGAAGTTAACACCATGTTCTCCTTTCTTTCCCCACCCCACCCCACATAGCCTGTTCAATTAAACTTAAAAGAAAGAAACCCAAAAGGCTTTTCAAACAAAAGGTAAGACTTACCTGCAAAACTTGATCAACTCAGATGCATAGAAGCTGGGAAGCATTACAGTTTTTAATTAAAGTATTGAGAATATGTGTGAAGTTTCTTAGCTTAACGCTTATTTTAAAGAAAGATCAAAGAACAATCTACCAAGACCTAGAGACCCTTTTTCTTTCTTTTTTATCTCAAATTACACACTGTGACAAAGACACAAAGTTATGGCATTTCAATGATAAAGTCCGCAATTAGCTTCTTTTTTGCCTCCAATGAAATACATCAATTCCCAAGGTTTATTTCAATTTCAAGATTTTGTCTTAAGAAAAGTATTTTTTCTTGTCCATTTAACATTAAAATCTGATGATAAATTTTGTCCTGAAAGAAGCTATACTTGAATCTAGAAGATATCAAGAATGCCCTCATGAGAGAGAAAGGAATAGCCAGAAATATTGCTATAAGAAATCTTGTAAGTCTGTCTTCTGCCTATAACTGATTGGAATATTAAAATGGGGTTACAATGTGCCCAGTGAAGGAGGCTTCCTGTGGAGCCCTCTGCATTACATAAGACCATAGGTGGAATCCTGAACCCCATCTAGAATCTTCTGAGGTGGGAAATTTTCACTTGAAAGGACAAGCAGACCAGCCTGGGGTGGCTAGAAGAACAGAAGATACTACTTGAAAGAAAAGACCGACAGGAAAAATAGAAAATAACAGCAGTCTGACTGATTCCTACAAGAACAAGCAAGTTGCTCCCCAGGAAACATCAAGGCAAGTGGTCAGGTCCCCTCATGGCAAACCCCCTTCCAGGACTAAGACTCAGTGGGAATACACGCTCTGATTGGTGACCATGTTCGTCACTGATAAGGGGAAGTGAGGGAAAAACAGCAATGAAGCTGCGAGCTAAGCCCTACAATGGTCAATAGACTCCTATGAACCCAGAAGAAGACCTGGTTGGCCTGCAGTGTGGCAAGACCTGGGGACTTTTGGGCCCAGAGTCAGTAACATAGCCACAAAGGACTAGAGTGGAGAGTGAAGCGTCCAGCTGATTAGAAGAGAGTGCATATGCATAAGAACACCCACACTTGCAGATAATACCCACATGACCTGGCTTCAATGACTAGATGATACAAGTTCAACTAGAAGAATAAATAAGAGATAAAAAAGAGTAATCTGATACAATTTGATGAATTTGACCTACACCTATGGATGCAGTAGCTCAAAAGAGGGAACAGATCTTTACAATGAGGATCATTCCAACCCCCTCGATACACAGGGTAGACCAGGATGGGCAACTTGGATATTGGCTACCCAAATGGGGAGGCTACAAAGGCAAGAAATGACTGGCTTACAAGAGGGAGCCTAGATCCAGAGGGCATGGAGGAAGGTAGAATCTCCACTGAGTAGTATTCAATCTGTCTGGGCAGGGCTGATGAAAGGAGATGGGGATAGGTCTTTTGTGATACAATAGTGAATAATTATTATCAGGACTGATTGTGAGAGTTGGAAATGTAAAGGTAGATGTTTTGTAGCAAAAGGATGGGGAGTGATTGACTTTGTAGTCTAGGAGCAGAGGTCCCTGGGACCATCAAGGGAGAAGAGCAGAAAGCAGGACACTACCCAGAGAAGCAGTGACGCCAGAGATGGAGGCAGAGATGATGACGTGGAAGAGATGGAGCAGCTGGGGACTTTAGACCCAGACAGGGAGAGGGGCTGGGTGCTGATGACCAAGGGGGCAGGCTTGCATGGTATACACTTTGGTTGGTTGATGATGCATGGAGGGGATTATAACCATGGCAATGAAACGATATATGATAGGATGAATGTAAAGTTAACGTAAACTCTCATATAATTTACGATAAAACATTTAAAATAAATAAACAGACAAAACCTTTTGCTAAAAAAAAAGTTTCTATGGAATTATAAATTAAATATAGAATTAAATGTTAGGGTTTGGGAAATCTCCACATTCCAGCTTTCAGCTGTGAAACCATAAAGATTCTCTCTCCCTTTATAATTTGTTGCTGTTGTTAGATGCTGTAGAGTCAGTTCCAACTCATAGTAACCCTATACACCACAAAACAAACCACTGCCCAGTATTGCATCATCCTCATAATTGTTGTTTGAGCCCATCAAGCCATCATGTTGGTGAGGGGGTCTTCCTCTTTTTCATTGACCCTCCACTTTACCAAGCATGATATCCTTCTCCAGGGACTGATCCCTCCTAACAACATGTCCAAAATGAGACATGAAGTCTCTCCATCATTTCTAAGGAATATTCTGGCTGTACATTTTCCAAGACAGATTTGTTTGTTCT